GCAAGGGAAGGCAAGCTGGGCAAACTTGTATTAAGAATGTATATAGTGATTCGTGGAAAAAGACTCTACAACTCGAATAGAGTTACACAGCAGGTCTGTTTACTCTGGTGCCAAGGTGCAAGGGGATTTCTTCACAAAGCTTGCACACTCACCGCACATTTTACCAAAAACTTACAGAGTGTGGATATCCATATTCATTGGATCACGTAACACAAACGTGCATATGCATGAGTAAGGCTGGGTTAGTTCAAAAGGCTGATGTCAACAGTTGATGTTCGCTTTGCCCCTGCCCGTTGCCTCCTGGGGGGTGTCTCTGGGGGGCTTTGGGAGGAAGGCTCGTAGTCTTTCTCACGTTTTTTTTTCCCCAGAGCAGGCGCAGATTCTCTTGGCCAATTTCTTGAATAACAAGAGTGTTTTTCACACGGTTTACTTTCTATCTTATCTAAGAGAACCAATAGAACTTCTACCATCCGTATATGGCTATCTTTACTCATTACCAAGATTCATTCTAGTTAGGATACACCTGTTCCCCAAGGACAAAACCATAATATTTTGCTGAACATTGTAGTTCATGGTAGATTTTCATCGTGAACTGCTTTGTTTTGAGGAACACAGCAGTCCTTGGGAAAATTACACAGAACGGTCTGGGCAAGCAGGATTCTTAGCAATATTAAAAAAATACTATAACTTGCTATAAGTAAGTAAATAAGTTGCTAAGCAGTTTTCTATAAGTAAGTAATTAAGTCTCAAAACAAGTAATCATTTCTTTATATCAATAGTTAAACCTGGTTTGGGTGTTGCGGGATAAACTGGATGACTTCTGAGGGTATTTTCTAAATCTGTTTTCTGTGTTCTTGGGATATCTACTAAACTTTAACTTATGTTTGAAGCAAGTAATTTCTTAGGCTTAAGAATGATCAAGAAACTGGTCACCTAACAATCTCCCATCACTGTAGGTTTTTTGGTCTCCCAGACTCTGTCTACTAGCACTTAATTATCCATAGCTTTGGAAGCTTCTGTCTACTATCTTCAGGAATACCCCTTGTTTCAATTTAAATCAATTTTTTTCGAGTCACATTCACAATGGGTGTGGAAAACAAGCTTTTCCCCCTTCATGTAACCTTTTCCTGTTTGAAGGCAGCAATCCTGTCTTCCATCAGTCTCTCCTAGACTGAAGAAGCCCAGGATCTAGTGTTTTCTCATAGACTGTATTTTCTAAACTTTGGATCACTTCTGTTGGTTCAAACTGTTTGGCACAAACCTTCATTTTCCAAAAGCTGCTTCCTCCCCACAGACAACAGGACAAATAGATCATCAGGATATGAAGTTCAGATGTACAAATGTTGAGAAATAAAGATGTAAGCAAAGGTGCGTATTAAGATGAGTTTGAAAGGTGTGGATGTTTGATGCTTTGAATCTTCCTTTAGCTTTTCAGCTGTGAACAGAGTCAAGTTTGTACACACAGCAGCTGAATTTGAGAGCAGGGAAAAGAGCAGAAGTAACAAAAGACAGCTGAATTATGGTGAAAGCAGGAAGACAAGAATCTCCTGTTCTTCCCTGCCTTCTCCAGTTTCTGGCAGTTATAGAAAGCTAATGATAGGGCCTCAGAGGTGAGAGCTCTTCACTAATCCTGCAGACTCCCGGGAATGTCTCTCTGTGGGTGCCTCTATCCGCATGAAAATGCACTGGCTCACTCTCAGATTGAGAGAGAAATAGTTGCTAAGCGCCTGTTTGTACACAGATCAAGCATGACTCTCCAAGAGTTTAAAAATCCAAAGGAATGATGAAGCACTTTGCAGGTGGAAGCGGTCACATTCCTCAGGGGAATCTATCAGCTACCTGACATTGATGACAACCCTTTATATTTAAGGAGTTTGGCATTCCAGTCCGAACTTTTTTTATTTGACTTGTTCTTTAGGGCATTGTTATCAGAGCATTATTATATCAAGGTAATTAGAATTACTCACACAGCCCAGTATGTGGTAGGCTTTCCACATGAGTGAGACAGGATCCTCCCCTGAGGAGTTTAGCGGTCTGCACAGACAAGAGCAGCAAGTTAGGAAGCAAGTGAAGGTGCAGTGGTGTGCCAGTCTTACTGCTGTATATGCTGCATTTACAGATCAGAACTCCTTCCAAAACCATATATAATCTATGAAATTTCAGTCGGTTGAATTTCTTTGGTTTGCTTCTCAGCCTACACATATTCAGGAGGTCTGCAGCCATTAGTCAGGTATAGTGGAGATAAAAATTCTGTCTCCATCCTAATGTTGTGCTTAGTGATGTTAGGTACTGAGAAGGCATCACTGTGTTGGTCTGAAGTTCTGCTGCTGCTTAGAAGATGCAGTGATGGAGATGAACTTTGCTTCACTGTTTGGTTTAGTTTACTCAAGAGCTGTGTGCAAGAGCTTTCACTCAGAGGTACGTGCATATTAAGACAGTATTAGTTTCAGGAGCTGATGTCAGAAGCTGACTCTGTCTTTCAACAGCAGCAAAGCACGTGTTACATTTAAGTGCCTTAGAAATACGATGAGGTGTTGGGATTGTACTGAAGTATTTGGAATGCCTCCAAGCTGCACCCATGCTGAAACAAAGACTTGCTGCAGACTCTTCAGGCATCAAACAGATGCCTCTGCCCCAGCTTATACCAGTCCCACACATATCAAAGTGCCTGTCTGTACCAGGATAAATTTGTGTATCTTGGGGCTGGTAGATATGCTGAGCAACACATCTGTCTGTAGGCATGCTACTGGACAGCATGAACTCTGTGGTAAAGAGAGTGTCTAGATGTGCAGCCTAACCCCAGCAGGTTTGAAATATTACTTAATCATTACATTAATCACTTGCATATCACAATAGCTATGTGATGCATTTCTGTGGGGATAAAACTGTAATGGCTGCAACTCAATTTGCAATAAATTTAATGTTAAGTCATTGTTGAGGTTTTTAATTTGTTCCTTTTTACTTGCTAGTTATATTTTTCAGGCTTCTTTCTGGCAAACGTTACTGTACAATTCTAAACCGTAGTAAGGAAAGCAACACCCTGTGATAGCTATGTGTTTGTGGTGGAAATGCTGTCAGCATTTGCGAGAGGGTAGATGCTGATATCTGACTTCAGTTCGTGAAAAAGAAATTTGCTTCATGCATTTTGGCCCTCAGAGATGGTATCAGTAAAATTACATAGAAAAGGTTCCCCCTCACACACCTGTTTATCAGCATTTTTGAAGTACAGTCATTCTGGCAGGAATTCAGATCTAGAATGTATGAACACATTAACACCTTTTCCAGAGCCTTTTTATCAGAGCTATTGTGTTCTCAAATAGGTCATAGAGACAATAAACAAGGCAAGAAGTAACAAGAGAATTCTGTGTAGGAAAAAGTAACTTACTGGCTGCTGCTGGGGCTTGCTGCAGAAGTAAAATCATTTTGATAAGATGTTTCCTGTTTAAATAGACGTTTGACTATGTGTCCTTTGGCTTTAAGGAAGTCTCAAACAAAATCCCTTCCCAGTTGCTTAGCTGTCTGGGTGGTTTTTATTACTTTGAAGTTAGGCTTTATCTGCTGGCTTCATTCAGAGACTAGCTGGCTGCTTATCACATCTGTGGATCAAATCTTCAAAGGTTTTGTCTGAGGAGTTGGGATTTATGAGGTCACGTGGAATCCCCCTTGGAGGGAGCTCAGCCCATGGCAGCAGAATTGTGGGGAAAAGCTTTTGTCTGTAGGTGTTACTGGGCAGGGGAGGGGCTCTGGGATGCACGGGAGGTATGTCTGCATTGTGGGGTGGTGCTGATAGCCAGGGAAGCCTTGGATTGTGAGCGCTGGCCCGTTTTCAGCACGCAACATATAGAGAATGTGGGAGACCAGAGCGCATTCCTAGACACAGACTCACCGTGTTGCTGCTTCCAGTAGAGCTGTGTGAAATGTCAGAAGGAATTAGACCCGTGCTGGAGTTGACAACCACATCGGGCTCTGCAGCACTAGGCTTCACTGCACTTCTACAGTCAGGCTTAGCAACTGCACTGAATGGGTTAAAATGATGAATTTTATTTTTTTTTTCCCCAGAAAGATGACTGCGTATTAAAAGTAAAAAAAATTAAAAACAAGAAAAAAAATCCCAACCTAAAAGGCTGCCTGGCTTTCTGCTTGCTTCAACAGCAAGCAGCAGCTGTCAAATCTGCAGCCAACACTGCCTCGTCCCAGCCCTAGGCGTCCCTTGAACAATATGCCAGCAGAGACGAGCATCTCCAGTAAAAGCACATTTGAGCGCTCTTGCCTCTGGAACATAGCATGATTTTCAGGCTGTGTTCAGGCATGCCAGGCTTTGCTGACTGTACAGAAATGAGAGGGCTTAGTGCAGCAGCGTATGTTTGTTGCATTTCTGAGTGTCTTGCAAACAGCTTTAGCTGATTAGGTCACTAGAGATCATGGTTGGCTTCAGAGCAAGCAAAATGTTATGACTACATGTGCTGCAAGCCGGAGAGAGTGCTGATTTATACCTCTCAGCTTCCATTCAGATGAAGATTAGGTTAAAGGATTGAAAGGACCTCTGTTAAAACAGTGTTGGAAAGAAAGTTATTTTTCCTTGGATGAAGCACACCGTGAGTTACCTCCTGCAAGAGGATGAACAGGTTGTAGGTACTGTGAAGGTAGTACAGCCCCACTCACTGGGAGGGACTTAGGCCAGTATGCAGTAAATGTTAACTGGATGTGTTTGGAGATGTGGCTAGTTGTACTCGTCGGACTCTGCGTTCTTTGACTTCTCTGTCAGAATGTGCCACTGCTGCAAAGAGCAGTTTCGCGTTTATGCACTTGGTCTCTTACTTTGGCAAAAGCTGCTATCTTTCAGCACTTACTAAGGCAGCCCCTCTGTGGATCAAAGCCCCACCCCTTGTGAAGAAGTAGAGCTTATTCAGGCTCTGTAGCCACACGCTGTCCTCCTGCAATGGCTCCTCCTCCCCTCCCACCCTTGGGTGGAACCAGAGAAGGGAAAACTTGACAATAGTTAGCAGGCGGCAGAGCTCGCAAGAACTATTGCAGAAGCATGTCCAACTAGCCGGGCCAGCAGTTATTCTGCCCTTCCCAAGGGAGCCGCTGCTGCTGGGTGCAGGACAAGATGGTTTTAGCCATGGGAGCCAGGAAAAATCTGAAAAGGAATGAGCAGCCGAGAGACCTGGCATTCCTTGGGCAGCTTCAAAGAGAGGTGAAGTATCTGAATCAGCGCAAGATTGAATGAGCACTGGCTGCTGCCATGTTGGCAGAACAGAGCTGTTCAGAGGCCGTTGGACAAGTTTGTGGCTGAGCCGGTTTATCCAGTGTTGAAGATGGGAAGTTACTTGTCTGCCCCAGCTTACTTCGCTCCCAAGGATCCCTTTCGGTAAGTCTTGAGCAGGATCAGCAGTGGACCTCCAAAGTGGCCTTTTCCCCCCCGCAATGCTGTCCTAAGCAGTTAGTGTGTGAGGCGTGAAGAATAAAGTCCAGCGCTTGTGTACAGGGAACAGCTGGCCTGAAGCTGGGATCCTGTCTTGCTTTGAGGAGTCGACAGGGAAGATTGTTACTGCCAGTCTCTTTGCAGCTCTCTGGTACGAGGGGATGGCACCTGTGTGGTGAGGCAGTGCTGGTGTAGCCCAGGCAAGCAGCTGTCTTCCAGAGCCACACTGCACAGGCCACTTTGCCCCATCCCTGGGCTTTGTTCCCCTGCCAGAGGAATGAGATTTCTGTGGCTGCTGCTGCTTATGGCTCCTCCAGAGCTACTTGTGCTTGGGTGAGGTGAGGTGCTGCTCTTGGGAGTTCAAGAAGGTGATTTAATCTGCAGCGAGGCAGTGTATAATCTTGTTTGAGAAAAGAAATCAAGTACTTTGCAGGTAACTAGGGACAAGCAGCATACTCCCCTTATGTGGAAAGGATTCTTTTCCTGTGATACTTTGGATTATATTAACAACTGTTCTTGGTCCAGTTGAACAAATGAGGCTTGAGAAAGGCGATAGCTACTGAATAAGGCTTTGATTGCATTACATCTCCATAGTGAAAACTGTTAGTGCGGCTGAACACAGCCACGGTGGTGACTGACGCTGATGTGCTGATAAGGTGAATGCAGGGGGAAAGGCACAGCTTGCAGTTTCATTGTCTCTCTCCTATCCTCTCCACTCGGATTTGCTCATTATTGATCCTGTTCCTGCAAACACTTTTGTACTGGTTTGGGAGTAAGGAGCCTTTTGTTAAAATAGTCTAGGATAGGAGTAAACACTGCTGCATAGTTGCTAAGCTGCTTTAGGCAACTTTCTGAAACAGCATCTGCTTTCAGAAGGAAAGTGAGCAGACATTCATTATTTGTAATATATGTCGTGCATCATGGTGAGCCATGGATACACTTTCTCCTAAGTGTGTACAAACGGGTTTGCATCTTCAGAGCTTAAATATTGTGTCTTCTAATACTTAGTCTGTTTTCTAGCATCTGATCTTCCGTGCCTAGTGTCTCTTATGTAGCCAGTGCACACACTTCTGCTAAATCTGGGTGAGAAGCCTTTGGGTTACCTGGGACTGGAGTTATATTTTATTCTGCAGCTTTCTGTCTGTGTGACTGTCCTCTCCTGCACTCTGCCTGCAGAATTGGAACCACGGCTCTTTCGAGCTTGTCCAGCGTTAACTGATCTAGCCTGACAGTGTGTGTGAGGGGTGCATTTTATTAATGAGCCCTTCTCAAAGGGATCTGTCTCTTTACTGCCAGGGAAGTCTTTGCTTCCATGAAGGTATTGGCTTTCATTTAGATGTAAAAGAGATGCCGCATGAATTGAATCTCCCATCTCGCTGAAAACCAGGCTGGTTACCTGTTGTGACCTGATCCTCCTACCCACCCACCCCCACCACCAAGTAGCCATCAAGCAGCGATTTGTGAACTCTTTCTGCACCTGCTCTGCAACAGGGCAGCTGAAGCTGAACATTGCATCCAGATGCTGCCTGTGGTTCTTGGAGGATGGCTATCAGGCAGATTAATCTTTATAGCTAAGGCTGGGAAGCTGAGAATCATAATGTATGGGACTGTGAACATGGTGTGTGAGCAGCATGAGGAAACGTGTCAAGTATGGCTGTTACCAGTCCTCCAAGAAACTTGATTACCATGCTTTGTTACTCTGTAATAAGAATAGCAAATCATCTAGGAGAAAATTAGCGGTTTCTAATCTATAAAAGACAGAGGAGCACGAAATCTTCCTTTCTTTTGGTTGTGGTAACTGACAAAGATTAGCTTGCTTAATACATGTAGAAGTAATTGTATTCCTGCCTCCGCTGGTGTGAGCCCTGGCAAAGGCAGTGCTGCAGTGCCACGCACTCCAGTGAGGAGTGAAAGGAAGGAGTGGTAACATATCTTCTGTGATAAAATTCTGACATATCTCTTCCATGAGAGTCACGTGGAACAATCATGTGATGCCTTTATCATTTGGGTGAAGGAAAATTGAAACAGGTCTTGAAACTATATCTGTGTGCTGTCAGCCAGTTCTCCACACCTGGCAACTCCAAAGCCTTTTCTATGTTATAAAATGCGTGGTAAATACAGAAGGTGCTGCTTGGCAATAGGGGCCTCTTGCTGGCACTGATTAACGAAGTGGCCAGTTGGAGCCATTACCAGCATCTAGCCTCGCTGGGGCTGGTGGCTTTGTTCCTGTTGCCTCATTGCCCTGGGTGGGGCTCTGAGCCTTAAGCTGCAAACTTGTCCTGCCCAGATTTGTTTAATTGCATAGCAAAGAACTGACTGCTTGCTGGCTCCACCCCCTCACCTTCATTTTGCTATGGGTGTGTTGCAAATTAGATACCAGTGCTTGTTTCCGGGTGGAAGCAAACTGATCAAAGTGCTGTAAGGTTGGAATCAAACCATGAAGAAACAGGGAAAGGTAAAGGGAAGACAAGTGCACATTATCTTTTGGAACCTATCTAATCAGGATTGCAGTTGTGTTGCTTTTACAGAAATTTTATATTTTCTTAGGGAGAAAAAGAAGTGGTAAAAGGTTAAATTGAAGAGGGGTGAGGAAAGGAAAGTGTTGTGCTTAAAAAGAAATAAATAAACCAGCCAACTAACCAATCACCTGCTTGGAGAGAATTTAGATGGAAAGCCATGTCTTGAAGTCCTATTGCTGTCTGCATCCCAAGTGCAGGTCTGGTCACAGCTCCCTGTTTGAAGATGTAATCACTCCTGGAGCATGCACTGGTACAGGCATGCACACAGAAGTCGGCGAAGTCTGAGAGATCCGATTTGCCCATGCTGAGCCAGGTGTTCCTGCCACAAGGTGATAGAAATCTTTGCTGTTAGTTTCCACTTGCTCTTTCTCCCTCCCACTCACCTACTTGATCATTCAGCGTGGGGTATTTAGGGGAAATGAAAGCCAAAGGCTAGTGGTTGAAGGCAAAATGCATTGCAATGCCCTCTAGGTCTCTTGCATACCATGAGCAGGGTGTAACCATGACTGCCCCAAGGCTGAGGCTGTAATGATGCATGTACCATGTAGAGCCCTGTTAAGTTACTGCTCCCCCTGCCTCAGACAAAATTGGCAGGGCCTGTTGCACGTGCTGGAGTTCTTTTCCATCGCTGAGGGAAGGGGAGGAAGGATTTGGAGCTCCTCAGCTGGGAGAACAAACACTGTAAAAGCCAAATACATCAGAAGGAGCAATTTTCCTGAGGGTAGGGTATGGCACTAAATACCTCATGAGGTGTGCTTTCCCCTAAAACCATAGGCTGCTTACAAGCAGCTTCATCTTGTTCCTTTGCAGTCTCTTGAGATGGAGCAAATAACTCTCTCCATGTTGGAGCACGACCAGCTTCACATATCATCACGCTCATTACAAGCTGGTGGAGTTTACAAGGAATGTCTTTGGCACAAATAAGCTTTCAGGAAACTTGTGAAAGGTAAAGTCAACAGTAGCTCTCATCTTAGACCTGGGAGCACATAAAAAGTGTCCCTTCACTGCCACTAGCTGACTTCAGTGCATTGGGTGCCACAGAGAGGCTGTTGTCCAGGAGGGCACGCACCCACCTAAACCCCACCCCAGTGCCATGGGTTCCCTTCCAGCGCAATAACTGGGACAGTTGTTGGGGTAAGGAGCAGAAGATGCTGTTCCTTCCACCTTTGGGAAAGCATTGTACTGACAACACTGGTCCTTGGGGTGTTTCTTTGAACCAGTTATTGGTGACTAACCCACCTTGGATGCTGCACTCAAGAAATGGCCAATATCAGACTAATTTTCCTTTTAAAGTCTGAGAACATGCTGCCCAGGGCTAATGGAACAATCTTTAGTGATGCAACTGCTGTCTGTGCCTTATCTCTCCATTAAGTCACACCTCCACGCTGCAGAAGTTAAACTCCCTTGCCCAGTGCATCCTGCTGAGGCAGGATTATTTAGTGTTCAGGAAGTCTGAAGATTGGTGTTCTGTTTGTGATTTGCTAAAATGGTATCTGCAATAGAACTGCTGCATCTTTTTCCTTAGATTTTTTTGGGGGGGAGGGCAGTTGTTTGTTTGTTTCTTTGGGGGTGTGGATAGAGGATTAATAATGGTTCCTTGTTGAAATCGAAGCTGACGCTGATACTCCATTGATTTTGAGACTCCCTTTATTAAATTAAATAGTTTAATTTGGGGGTTTTTTTGGTTGCTTGCTTGCGGGTTTTTTTTCTCATGCACTGTCATCAGCAGGAGGAAAGGTAGAGCAATTGGTGGGGAGAGATGGAGGGCTTACATCACAGTTAATTGGTGGATGCAGTAAGTATGTGGAGCTCAAAGGATGAGCTGCTTTGAAAGCTCTCCCTCAAATGGACTGCAGTCGACCTTTTGGGAGAGGTCTACTTACAGAAGAATAGAAAGACTTTCCACAAACGTTAGTGCAAAACTGGCTTTGTGTTGCCTAAGGAAGTGGGTCCTGCCCCTCTGTTCCCCTTCCTAAACAGGCTGAGGAGATGGGTGCTGTGAAACAAGATGGTGTGATACTACAGAAACACTAAGTAGAAACATAGCTGAGTGTGCTGGGCAGCTCTGCAGCTGGAGGCTTGCCTCTGGGAAGAGGGAGCAAGCAGAGGAGCAAAATTTCTAAGGCAGAATTTATAAACCTACTGTTGTGTTTTACTAAATAGATGGGATTTGCTTTAACCTTTGGAAGCTTGTCTTTCGCTTTGTATTGGTCGATACCACTTCTGCTTACAAACCTTGGCTTTGGTGCTAATTTTCAGTTGAAACAGCATTGGAAAATAGAGTTGTTTAGTACATCCGTAACTAGAAGAGCTGGTGGTAAACTGCTGCTGAATGTTTTCTCCATGCAGGAGAGGATCTTTTTAATTGATTTGTGACTTGATGCCAACTGGAACTTTGTTCCTTTGCTTCCTTCAAGGTGCTCTGAATGTCAGGATCCCCTCACTAACTGGTACTATGAGAAAGATGGGAAGCTGTACTGTCACAAAGACTACTGGGGGAAGTTTGGGGAATCTTGCCATGGCTGCTCTCTGCTGATGACTGGACCTGTGATGGTAAGGACTCTGAAGGACTCCTGCCTGGAGGCAGGACATGCCCACCTCCAGCTCCTCAAACTTGGTTGGGAGTTGCCCTAGCTCTTCAGATAACCAAATAAACTGAAGGTAGTAAGTCTCCTTACTACTCTAATCTAGAAATGAGGCTTGTGTGTGCATCTTCTAGAACTGGGGTAGCTCTTAAAGGAGGGAGTTGTGAGGATCTGAAGCAAAGAAGGTGCTGAACTGCACAGGCATGAGAAGTAGAAAGGTGATTAAGGGGACATCTGTTCAGTTTCTGTAGCACAGTGCCTCAGTGTCTCCATGGGGTGATTTTCCACTGCACTGCAGAGTCAAACTACTCGGCTCAGGATAAGCAGCAGGTTCTGGCTTTGGGGAAGGTTGCCGTCCAAGTCCCACCTGGACTGTGGCCAGAGTGGTTTTCTGGCTGACAGTGTCTTGAAGTGGTGTTAGCCCCAGTTGCTTTGAAGCATTGAATTCTGCCTGCACAACATGGGGCTCACCTAAATGTTCCCTTCCTTGCCACAACCTTGCAAATATTGAACCTTTAAAACTGTCAAGAATGAAACATAACCATTATTCTTCTAGGGCCTAAATAAAAGCAGCATCATACTCAGTAATATGATTGCTACCTCAAAGGGAAGTACTGAGAAAAGCGCAGACAATTTCTCATTGCCTGCAGAAGTCTTTGCAAAATACTGTCAGTAAGGGAAATTCTCGTAAGGCAAATAGAAAAACAGATTAGTGAATAAAAATATTCTTTAAAGGTATTTTGTTGTTTCAGTCTGAGCTCACTTTTTTTTTTTTTTTTCTGTCAGCTGGCTGGTAAAGTATCTGAATTTGTGCATTGCCTGTCTGCCAAAAAAAAAAGCCCTTTCAGCTTTATTAATTCAGGCGTAACGTTAGTTATCTTGCCAAGAGCAACTGAACAGGAGGGTTTAATATCTTGTTTACAAGTCTGCAGTAGACTATCAACTATTTTTGATAGTTGAGCAGCTGCCAAATATAGCAGAGGTTCCTGGGACATGAGCTTTGCTTTGCATGTTGACATGTTTGTTTCGGAGAAGTTTTGCAAATGATTGGGTTCAGGAAAGGTAGAATGGGCTAGTAGAACTCTCCAGTAAAAAACTGCTACTTGACTTTGCGATCTGAAGGAACACAATAATTAGAGAGGAAAGCTGCATGTGCTGGTGGATTTTGGCCCTACTAAGCTACTCCTTTTTCTGTCTGTAGGTGGCTGGCGAATACAAGTATCACCCTGAGTGCTTTGCTTGTATGAGCTGCAAAGTGATCATTGAAGATGGGGACACTTACGCACTGGTGCAACATTCCACTCTCTACTGGTAAGACTGAGCTGCCCGCCTTGCCAGAGTTGCTCCCTGCTGTAAGTGTAAGCCATGTTTAGCTGGCTCAGCGTGGTTCAGCTGAATGCTAGGAATGCCACGAAGCTGCCTTGGGAGGGAGGGAGGAAGGACTGGTGTAAGCACTAAAAACTATAGCTTATGGTCAATAAGAGAATTTAGAAGTGTGAGTTTGGCAGGGAGGCACAGGACACTGTCATAATGACTTTCTTCACTTCTTTTAGTGGAAAATGCCATAACCAGATTGTGCTGACACCGATGATAGAAAAACACTCCACTGAGTCTCTGCGTGAGCAGCTGCCTTATACGCTGACCCTCATCTCCATGCCAGCAGCTACTGATGGCAAGAGGGGCTTCTCTGTGTCTGTTGAAGGTGGCTGCTCCAGCTATGCCACTGGTGTCCAGGTGAAAGAGTGAGTATGACAAGGTTGTGTGCAAGGTACTTGTCTGTGCAGAGGGAGCTGGTAAAAATTCTGCAGCGCTCCTGTCCTGCCAGTTGCTTTAACTGCTAAGGGGATCTGTCTTGGCACAACAGGGACATGTGTTGGCTAATAGCCATTTGTGTTCAGTCTCCGTTTCGCTCTTGTGACAACCTTAATTGACAGCTTTATTTCTCAGTGCTATGTCCTTCACTGAACACAAAACATTTGGTGAATTGCATGGACTAACAGTTTTTACCATTGGGCAAATGGAAGAGCTCTCCTCAAACCAGCTCAGACCTAAGCGCTTGGTCTAAGGGTCCCTTCCTGTGTTGGTAGATTAGCATTGTTTCATTTCAGGATACCAATATGAGGGAAGGATCAGAGATCAAATATTTTTTATACTTTTGGCTAAACTGACTTCCCCCACACTATAATTCCCATGTTTAGAGTTAACAGGATGCACATCAGCCCAGATGTCCGAAACGCCATCCACCCTGCAGATCGTATCCTGGAGATTAACGGAGCTCCTATTCGTACGTTACAGGTGGAGGAGGTGGGTAGAGTTCTGTTCTGAAGCCTCCTTCTCCTCTGCCTTCCTACAGCTTTTCTGCTTCTCAGCACTGTTCTCCCGCTCTGCCTCCAGTGTGTGTACACCCAGAGTACTCATGCTGACAGCAGGAAAAAAATGAAGTCAAGCTCTGCTACCCCTTCTGGCTGAAGAGGAAAATGTAACAGATGGAAATGCAGTTAGGGTGCAGTTCTGATTTTGTGGCATTCAAACATGAAGGGAGGTAATAACAAAAGTGTAGGGCTGTAGGGCTGTGACATCTCAGAGGACAGAGAGACTGTGAAGACTGTTCATGTGTTGCTAGTGAATTCCACTGTCCTGATCCTTTTAGAGGCAACTGCTAATAGATAAAGGTTCAGCTGATCCTAGGAATGAATTTTCCAGAGCAAAAAAAGTATTTCATGTCCGTATTTACAATTAAATGCTTTATACAGATATCAGGTGATGCTGCAAGAGTATACTGAGACCACCATTACTTTCACTGTGCAAGGGTTTTATTTATGGTTAGTGCTGAAGAGAACAGTAGGAACACAGTAAACATGTCTCAGATAAAGCTGGTTTTTGCAGCACTGTTCAGGATGGAAGCTTGTGTAGTTTTTGAACACTTCTCAGAAATAGAAGAAAAAAAGTGTTTCATAGAATACCAGGTTGGAAGGGACCTCAAGGATCGTCTGGTCCAACCTTTCTTGGCAAAAGCATGATCTAGACAAGATGGCCCAGCCCCTGTCCAGCCAAATCTTAAAAGTGACCAATGTTGGGGAATCCACCACTTCCCTGGGGAGATTATTCCAGTGGCTGCTTGTTCTCATTGTGAAAAATTTTCCTCTTGTGTCTGATTGGAATCTCCTCAGGAGTAACATGTACCCATTACCCCTTGTCTCTTCTATGTGGCTCCTTGTCAGAAGGGAGTCTCCATCTTCTTTGTAGCCATGCTTGAAATACTGGAACAGGGTGATAAGGTGTCCCCTAGGCCTTCTCTTCTCAAGATTGAACAAACCCACTTCTCTCAGCCTTTCCTCACATGCCAGGCTTCCCAGTCCTTTGATGATCTTTGTGGTCCTTCTCTGGGCCCTCTCTGGCCTGTCCACATCTTTTTTGATTAGGTCACTTGTAGCTGACCAGAAAGAAGAGGATTTGGATAGCATAAGGAACTTCTGTGTTGCTGCTTGATTTGTCTGGTAGACAGCTGTGGTGTGCACAGCTAAACCACAACTATGGGGTGATCTCACTGAACTCTCTACTCTGACTCCTAAGGGGCATTCTGCTGTGTCTCCTCTATCTCCTGTCATTTGTGTTCCTCCTTTCTACCATCATCCTGTCCTTTGGTTTGTTTTCAGGTGGAGGAATTGATTCGCAAGACAAGCCAGACACTTCAGCTGCTGATAGAGCACGACCCCGTCTCACAGCGCTTAGACAGGCTCCGTCTGGACTCCCGACTTCCCACCCACATAAAGCCGCCCATTTCCCCACGCTCCCTTTCTCCACTGGACATCAAGGAGAATCTGGAAGGAACGCTCCGACGGCGCTCCCTCAGGTACAGACTTGGAGGTGCTGCCTCTGACCTAGCTTGCCTTGGCCCTGTGCTGCCTGGCCGGGCTGCTCTGTGCCTAGGTCTTGGGACTGCAAAGGACTGCAGAGACGTGACTCATCTCTGAGATGAACCTTGGTATAAAGCACTAGAGAGCTTTAGATTCTCTCCCCATTCCCTGTCAGGATGGCAGACTTTCCTTAATAAAATAAGGAGCTCAACTTTTAACATGAAAAAGCTGCTAAGTTTTACAGTTAGAAAATGTAAAGGTCAGATTTTTACCAGCCTTAAACGGCTGGGGAAGAATGTGTCCTTAAGGGGAATATGGCTGAGATCTGGGACTTGGGGAAAAACCTTGTCTTCCTAGACTGGGGCACTCAGTCACTCATTTAGTCATTTATGAGTGTTTTAACCTTTGTTTAGAGATAGCAAGTGCTGTGTGTCTTCAGAGCTTCCTCCTCCTGTTCACAGACCTCTGACAGTGCAGGAGTAGGAGATGTGTTGTTGTTAGGCAGCTCTGGCTTGGAAGCTGCTCTAGGTTTGTAAACAGCTTCCACCAGTGCTGGGAGAGCATCTGGCTTTTGCGATATGAAGAGCACTAAAGCACGTCCAGAGACGGATCCCTTAGGAGCTAATGATGGCATATGCTGGACCAAAAGTCTCCTACCAGCTTCCCTGATCTTCCCGTCTCCTGTTTTCCAGGCGAAGTAACAGCATTTCTAAGTCTCCTGGCCCCAGTTCTCCAAAGGAACCACTCCTTCTGAGCCGTGACATCAGTCGTTCTGAATCCCTACGTTCCTCTTCTAGCTGCTCCCAGCAAATCTTCCGGCCCTGTGACCTGATCCATGGCGAAGTTCTGGGAAAAGGATTTTTTGGACAAGCAATCAAGGTGAGGGAAGTCCCCAAACATTCATCATTTACGTTGATTACTGCAATGTTTGCTTACCTCAGGATCCTTCACCCTGCTGATAGCGATCAGTCTTGGAACTCACGTGGTTTGCTCAGTGAGATCCATTTCTCTGTTTCATTCCCTGACCGTGAGTGTCTCTGGCTGCAGGTGGATTTGACTTTGTCCCCTCGGAATGTCAACCTTGGCCATACATACTCATCTCCTGAGTTAGGTTTAGAGCTCCAGGGTGCTGGTGTCACGGCAACCACCTGGGTAAGGTGGGGAGAGTGGGGAACAAGTAACACTTTTTCTTATGAGCATCTTCTGAAGAGGTGCAGTGAACTCCCCAGTGCAGCATTTCTCACCCACCCTTAGTGTAGCATGCTTGGGGGTTTGCCAGGCTGATGTGGTGACTGTCTCTGAACCCCCAGCAGAGCCTAAATGGCTTGTCAATGTGGTGGTAGTAGTCAGGTCTTTCATGACTCTCACAATTAAAGTCTCCATTCTCTTGTATTTAAGTTCTCTGGTCTTGACTGGGGGTGCTTCACCAGCTCCTATCCTGGCATCCCCAACAGCATCGGGGAGCAGCTTCCTCTGCCTCACTATGGTGCTGTGAGCTCCTCGGTGCTCAGATTGCTGTTCACCATGTTATGGGACTTCTTTCCTTACACCTATATAAATTTCAGACATCCAGCCACCATACTCATCTCATGCTTCCATGGGAGGTAGTGAGCCAGTACTACAAATCCAATACTTTTGATCCATACTAATGAGCATATTTCTCTTCTCCTCTGCTCATAGAGAAATAACAGGTCCAGGTAAGCAGAACCTTTCCTCTTTCGCATGCTTTTGTCATCTGCGTCCCCACAGTTAATGGCACAAAGGCATTTATTTTCTGCTCAAATTACCTGATAGCCATCCTGTTCTGGTGCATGCTCTGGGAGTTAAAATTGCCCTCTTGGAGTTTCATGATGACACATTTCAGTTTTTCTGGTATGCCAGCTTAAGAATTGCACTTAGCCTTGTCTTGTCTTTGTCTCTTCACGTCCCTTTATCTTTGGGTATTAGATGTCCCTGGCTTTTATGTCCCTGGCTGAAATGTGTAGTGTTCCCTGGCTCGATACTTGTATATGGATGCTTGATTTCAAATGGGAGCAGAAGAATATTGTACTTTTGCTTCTGTTATCCATGTTATCCATGCATTTGTATTCCATTTATATCAGGCTTGCTATGTCCCATGGTTCTAAACAGAACTAGTATGTCACAGTGTTTGCAAGAGCTCATAAGCTTCCTAAATACTATAACTGGGTCTTATCTTCTGGATTGCAGTTCTGGAGGTTTTCTGAAAGGGTTTTTTTTTTTAAAAGGGTATGAGGCAAAAAAGTGACACCTTTCTTGAGCTTCAGATTGACTGGTTTTGATGCAACAAGTACTGTATCTGGTTACAATAGTTCTCTTCCCAGAGGGAAGGTGGTAGTTTAGTTACCTGGAGACTGAACTGTCCAAGTTAAGCAACTGAAAGGGAGAGGATTTCCAGGAAAACACGCTCACCAGAATTTGGACCCTTTCTACTTACTCATGTACTTCATGCAAGCAAGGCAGAGCTGGTTAAAAGAAACCTCTAGAACACAGCAAAATGCCAGGAACTAGTTGGATACAAGCAAATGGCTCTTGAGGAACTGGAAATGTTTTCCATGTTGAGAGCCAGGAAATATACTGCCTGACGTTTATGGTGGATTTCTGTGTATTTGTCACCATTCTGGGACATTCCTTGCAGGTGCAATACACTGCTCCCAAGGAGCATGATGAAATAACTGCTTCCTACCATAACTGAACAGCCTGTGCATCCTGGTTCCGCTTGCACATGAGTAAGTTTGATAAGTTCATCAGAAAGCACCAGGCTTTGGAGTCCCCATAAAACCAAAGCACATAGTAATGTGGTTTTGGATTGTTTGGCTTGGTTTCTGTTGCAAGCAAACGATGATTCCTTCACTGATACAGAGTGTAGTTGTTAGGTGCTGTGTACAAAACGTGAGCATCACGCTGGGCAAGGACTTTCTGTAAGGGAACTTGAGGCATGCACAAGTATGGCACCGAAGCCTTCAGAGGCTTTGACAGCCTGTGTGCATGCTCAGCCCTATGTTACCTAAAGTGGAGACTTCAGCTCTGGTTCTTGGGATGCTGTTGATCTCTTGGTATGATCCTATATCAGCTTTAGGTAGTTTGTTTCACGTACAGAATCTTTTGCTGAATTCTGAAATGAGAAGTTTTATGCAGTTTTCTGCAGATTCCTGGGCTCTGAGTTTTCTCCCATCTATATTCCTGTCTGATTGGAGGGGAATGTTACCCTCTCTTTCAGAAGAGTTCCAAGAGCATTGGAGCTATGTATTCTTGAACCTTGCCTGTAGTTGTGGTTTCTGTTTCCACCAGGTGACCCACAAAGCAACAGGAAAGGTGATGGTGATGAAGGAGCTGATTCGCTGTGATGAGGAAACACAGAAGACTTTCTTGACAGAGGTAGGAGCAAGATTTCAAAAGTTCCTGAGCCAGTAGTGTGGTGGAATTCTCTTCCATCTTCTCCAGAGAGAGAGTGATCATGCCAGCAACCTGGCAGAAATCAAGGCGCTGAGGAGGGAAACATCACAGAGGAAAAAGCTGACATGAGCTGAATGTTTGCTGCAGTGAACTGTGACTGACTCGCTCTGAGCAACAGACATGGATTCAGCTCCCAGTTCATTAATTTTTCAATGATAAAAAGCAGCCTGAGTCTGAGGCAAATTGAGCTGTGCAATACATAAAGGATTTATCCCTTGAGCATTGTGCATAAATACAAATTATGAGGGCCAGTATCTGTGAGATATTTAAGACTCCTGCTGTATTTAAGCTAAACTGTTTTCTTGGTGGCTGCCTACCATGTTTTTCAAAGTCAGATTTAGCATAAAGATATGTCCCTGAACACCTGATGCTGCAATTCCGGCTCTGACACACACAGCACAGACCATATAGCTGCCCTGGACAGCTCCTGTCTCTTAAAAATAAGCCAGACTCAAGGGTGCTCTCCTTAAAGACTAAGATCAGGTTAATTGCACAGCATGAAAATGAAGAGGTAACAGTTAAATTGACTGCCTTAAGGTTGGGTTTTGAGTGTACTCTGTGATCCCTGGAGGGGACCTCCATCATTGGAGCGCTTGTCACACCAAGCGGATCTGTCCGGACCTGTTCCATTCTCTCCTTTGGGGTGGGATGTCTCTGCTTCCCAGGTGAAAGTGATGCGCAGCCTGGATCACCCCAATGTCCTGAAGTTCATCGGTGTACTGTACAAGGACAAGAAGCTGAATCTCCTCACTGAGTACATTGAGGGGGGCACCCTGAAGGACTTCCTCCGCAATGCGGTGAGTGTGGAAGCCTGGTAGGCCTCTACTCAGCAAGGCTGACAGTGTGTTGTTGGTTGTACCAGCCTTATGGTGCTTGTTGTTAGTCTTCTCCTTTGGAGCTGTGTGAGAAGCTGCTTCTTAGCTGTGGGTGGCCTGAGGCAGGAAGCATTTTTTTCTGGGGGCTGTATCGTCTTTCACTGACTGCTGTAAGAGCCCCTGTTGCAGAGGAATTGCTGTCACCAGCTGGCTGGTAAGACATTCCCTGACCTTTGAGGACTTGTCTTTCAGGACCCGTTTCCCTGGCAGCAGAAGGTCAGCTTTGCCAAAGGAATTGCCTCTGGAATGGTGAGTCGGGCTGTGTCTGTCCCAGAGCAGACCCCCAGGGTCAGGGTTAGCGGCTTCAGCAGGGGGGTCTAGGAGGGGTGGTAGATGCTGCCTGATACCAGCATCTGGTTGTCAAGGTCTGTAAATGTGAAGGGACATACTCACCTGGGAACCCCTAACACCAAGTTTTTTCCCTCTGTTCCAGGCTTACTTGCACTCCATGTGCATCATTCACAGAGACCTGAACTCACACAATTGCCTAATCAAGTTGGTGAGCAACACCCCTGTTCCCCACAGCATGCTGCTGCTCCTTGTCATTTTCCTCCCTTGGTTTTCTCCACGTGATGTTCCCTCTTTTGTCAGAGTGGAACTGATTTCAGAGAGGCTTTTAGTGCCCTAAACAAGGGTGCTTCATCTTCAGTAGGAATTTTCCAGACTGATCTGGCTTTCACTGCTTCTTCATTCTGTTCTTTTACCCCCTTTCCTGTGGTAGCATCTCCTGTTATTAACAGTCACATTATGAGAATTAGTACAGCTCTGTTCCTTATCTCAACTATGAAATATTCTCTACCGCTGCTTCTGTTCTTTAAACCACTTGATGACTTTTTTTTATTGGCACTCAGGATTCAGACAAGTGTGCAGAGGCATGCATGTGTGCGCTCTCTCTTTTTGAAATGCTAGGTCACAAGATTTTTGTGTAGCTTCGTTGCCCTTGTTCACTTGGCTGGAATATGAGATAAGCATGTGGGCTTCAAACGACCCAGGATGAATGTCTGAGTTAATTCTTGGCCAAGTAGAATAGGAGGGTCTGAAAGGGAAGGTCCAGGTTTGCCCTGACACGTGTAGCCAAATTGATGGTATTCGTGTGAGTGACCCCACAGAAAATAAGATGAGGAAATGATGAGTTGGGATCGTGAATTGGGTGTCTTACACCCGTCTAGACAGCTTGCTACAGTCATCTGGCTGCAGGAAACCTTGATAGTTGCCCTTACAGTGCATAGCCAACAGGAATTGCAGCCTCTTTGCTCCTGAAAGGAGCTGAGAGGAATCAGTGGCTTGTACTAAATCCCTTGTGTAGGATAAGACGGTGGTGGTGGCTGACTTCGGGCTGTCTCGGCTGATTGTGGAGGAAAGAAAAAAGCCCACTTTGGAGAAGCCATCTGCTAAGAAACGAACCCTACGCAAGAGTGACAGGAAGAAGCGCTACACGGTGGTTGGCAACCCGTACTGGATGGCCCCAGAGATGCTGAATGGTAAGATACTGATAGCAGGGCGCAGGTGAGGAGACAGCCTGTGTCAGGGTGTAGGGATGATAGGATTACTGAAAGCTTCTGGGCCCTAATAACAACCAAACCTATTAGAGCCTGTGGTTTTAGCCCTGCTAATACGCAAGCTTATTTATACACACAGGTACCGTAGCTGCACTTCTCTTGCAGTACCTGACCTGATAAGCCTTTGTACCAGCCAACGTAATGTCTCTGGCTTGACAGCAGGATTCTTCAGGAGGGCAGCTGACCTAAACTTATCATCCAGATAACAGGGAAGACAAAAGAAGCCTGAAATAAGACTGAACCTGCGATCAATTTCTGTTATAGCCTCGTGCTTTGAAACTGCCCCTTGAGACAGGGAATCGTTAAACTCCAGGATGAGGCTTATGTGTGCTGTTGTGTAGATCCAAGAAGCCATGTGCTGCCAGGTTTGCTGAAGCCTCAGGATTGGGGTGGGAGTTGTCCAAGTGCGGGGAAATCTGGGTTTTGGCAGCAGCCCTCAGTTGCATTAAGGATGAACTATGTCCCTTAGGGGAAAAACTGGTAATGGTGAAAATACAATGGGTACAATTTTCTCGTAATAAGCAGGTTTGTCTGACCAGGTTGGGCAGTTTGGCCAGCTGTGATATCAGTATTGTCCAACACAGTCCACCAGGGAAGGGAGGACTGGGCTTCTCTCTCCCAGCTCAAGTCTTCTCCATGTTGCTTTCTTGTGTGCTGCTCTGTTTTCCTTCTCTCAAGGCCTGCAGGCCATACTGGAGTCAGGCTGCTTCTCAGAGCCTCGCTCAGACCTGGCATTTGTCAGAGAACAGCAAGAGCGTAGTCTGACATCACCTCTGAAAGCAAGGCTGTTTACCAGATACTGGCTTGGGAGGGGCGTGTCTGTAAGCAGAGAATGGCGTGCTGGAGCCAGTCTGCTTTCCCAGATTCAAAGTGCTGCCAGTGTGTAATTTATTATCTCTGCAGTCACTGCAGCAGGGACTGGGCACTCGCTGGCTGCTGGGGAGGCTGAACACTGACTCGGTGCACTGTAGAGGTGCACTAGAACAGCAGTCGATGGGAATGGGCAGAACTTTTCCATAGTTATCCTTTGCATTTGCTCAGATCTCTGATATACAAGGCTTCCCTCTCTTGTCCTGTAATTTCCTCATAGAAGAAAGAAGCAGTGTTAAAGTATGTGATGGCAATGTATAGGAAGATTGCATTTGGTTTCCATATCTTGGGGCAGCTGACCCTGCTCAGATTTAAGCCTTGCTTTGTCTCCTGTTTTGGGGCCTTCCAGGAAATAGGCTTAGTTAAGCTTTGGACTGGCAGCTCCTGGAATAACTGGATAAGGAACTGCTTCTCACAGAGCTGAGCATGTCTTGTGTTTCCTGCAGGACAGAGCTACGATGAGACAGTGGACATCTTTTCATTTGGGATTGTTCTCTGTGAGGTAAGACCAGGACATTATATGGCATCTTTAATGGACTTCTTCCCCACTGCCATCTCCTTGCACACACTGTATCAGCCAGTTCTCCGTGTGTGAGTGTGCAGTCTGTGACCTGACCACACAGTGAATTAGGCTGGGAGTAACAACCTTACCCAGGCTTTGTTCCCTCAAGGAAGGTAACTGTCTTGTAACTTCTTGGTCTCAGAGAGTTCATTCCTGGACTGAAAGAAATACAGAGGTTCCTCCTGGACTGAGAGAAACTGTAAAAAAAAAAATCTATCAAATTCTGACTGAGCCCTGGGATCCTTTCGAAAGTAGGCATATTCCCTAAAACTGTGATACTTTTTTCTACTGCCTCATTAAAAGAACAGTCAGCTGTATAATCTCAGCAAATTCAGGGCCCCTGCTGGAGATGGCACTTTACTTCAAAGAAGGGGAAGCTGCAACCTCTTTGCAGGTCGATTAATGAAGCTCGCACCCTGAAGTCTGTTGGCTTAGATTCTTTGAGCCAATGCAGAGTCTCACTGTTGTATCAGGCTTTTCTGTCTGCAGAACAAAGAGGACCACTGAAAAGCTGCAAGGTATTTTCAGTTTAAAAGGTGTGTAAGAGTGGAAAAACAGATAAAAGGGGGGGTGTTATGTATATGGATAACACAGCAGTTATAGGAATACCAGGGGAGACCAGCATAGTTTCATCTTCAGTGTTTGGATGAAGGGGACAAAGAAAGTATCTGTGCATAAATCTTTGTGGTCTCATCTGGAGCTCTGTTTACACTGGGCCCTCCTCTCAGAGAATGTTGTGGTTGTGAGTGATAGATTTAGGAACTTGAAAAATCTGTATGTGGGATTAAAACAATTGTTTCATCTAGAAAAAAATAAAGGGGTAGTAGCTTATGAACATTTTCCTTGTCACCAAAATAAAGATGCTAAAAAAAGGAAGTTACACACTCAAACAGATAAGGAAATAACCCTGCCAAAATACATAATGGGTGTTCCACTGTCTACTTACAGGATGTGGTTGTCCTGCTGAGTTATTGGCATAGAAAAGCCTGGGTGGTTATAAATAACACCCTTTTTGTGATACCCGATGAGGCTTTAAACCTAATACTCTTCCCCATGTGAGAGTTTGTATTAACATTGACCTTGTCTGAGTCCAGATCACCCCACAGCTCTCTGCTGTGGGTTCCTTTCCTCCCACAACACTTGGAGTGCCCTCGTGGTGGTGAGTGCTGGGACTGCCAAGTGCTGGGGCAGAGTTTCTCTCTGTTCACCCAGCCCCTTCCTCTCCCTGCAACCTCCTGGGCATGGGCGATGGCTTTTCTGCTCTCCACCCTGACCCTCCTGCTGTGGGTGGGGTTGAATCTGCCAGGAACAGAGCAACTCAGAATTTGTGGTGCTGTTGACTTCATAGCATCATTCAGGACAGGCTCTATAGACAGGGGAGCTCTGCTGATGGTGTGGCAAGATTGTGTGAGAGGGGAGAGATGGGATGGCGACGCAGGGTGTGTCGATTCCCTGCGCTCAGGAGGGCCTGCATCATCCCCAGCAGCATACACACGGTAGCTGCCCCAGCAGACAGACGCTGTTGAGCTCTCTGGGAAATGCACATCGTCCTGTATCTTCTAACAGAGAGACCCTGGGGAGAAAGAGAAGGCATCTGGGCCTTCCCTCACAACAGTGCACACGTTGCCAGGTCCTGAAAAAGCTTCATGTGAAGTTTGTCTGTGTGCTGTGCCTTGCCTCACTCTTTTGCACAATTAGCCCCAGTGGAAAGGAGGAACAGTTTCTGCTCTTTCCCTTTCACCCTGTTACTTGGAAGGAGCCTCTGCCTGATGCTGAAGTTCGCTATTTGTTAAAACTGTGGAACTGTTGCTGTACTTAAGTGCTCCTCCCATTATTCCCTAGATCATAGGCCAGGTTTATGCTGACCCAGACTGTCTCCCACGCACACTGGATTTTGGCCTTAATGTCAAGCTGTTCTGGGAGAAGTTTGTTCCTGCTGACTGTCCTCCAGCCTTTTTCCCTCTGGCTGCTATTTGCTGCAGACTGGAACCAGAGAGCAGGTAAGTTTGGGGTCTGCAGGACTCCTCTTTGTAAGCCTGGAGGATGTGTCTGTGTCCCCTTGGTGGAAGGATCGCTCTGCACAGAGGGTAGAACAGGGCTGTATTCCAACCTTCTGTGGGAATGCTCAAAGGCTTCCACGTGAGGAGAGGCTAAAGACTCATCAGCTTGTGAGTCAGACTGATGTATATAGTGGTGGTCTCTGAAACAATTTCTGAGACACAGGGTAAAGGAGAAGTGATTGTTCAGGGTTTCTCATGTACAAAAAGTAGGGGCAGACCTTGGCAGCAGCTCTGGAAGGCGAATAATTTGTTTGATTTCACTGGTGAAACTTGTAGCTTCAAACCAGTGTTGATGCCAGGTGGGCTCCAGGAGAGCCAGACCTCCCTGGCTATCAGCTGTAAAAACAGGTAGCCTGGACAGATGGGATCTTTGCTGTTGCAGAAGCTGAATGGGGAGGGATCGTGTCCCTGCTCACACCTCTGTGCATGAGATGGGGGCACGGATGGACAGCTGGTTCAGCCTTGCCAGATGCTGTTCTGCTTCCTCTTACCCACTCACATTTCCTCACTGCTGCTTCTAGGCCCCCTTTTTCCAAGCTGGAAGACTCCTTTGAAGCTCTCTCTCTCTACCTGGGAGAACTTGCCATCCCCCTTCCATCTGAGCTGGAGGAGCTGGACCACAACGTGAGTGTGCAGTATGGACTGAACCGTGACAAGCTACCTGAAAACACAACCTAGTCAGCTCATCCTGCTGCCTGCACCACTTCTGTTGGAGCTGAGATGCGGGACAGGGAGGGAGATGCACTTCAGCCACTTCCAGGGCATTAATGGGGCACCACGCTGTGCGTTTGCTGCATTGCCTCTCTCTCCCCACCCAACACCCCTCCTCTTGGACAACCTGATTCACTGTGGATTTCTGGCGTGTTTCAGAAGCAAAAAGGGCCGTTTCCTGCCAACTGCACCTAGGAAAGCTGCTCAACACTATTTTTCTGGCTTGAGAAATGTTTCTCTGGCCTTTTCAGGCTTCTTTACTGTGGTGCCTTAGAACTTGGCTGCAAGCTGTGAAGCCACCCTGGCCTGACTGCCAGGGAGGGAATTGCTGTAGGAAACTTCTGAGCAAGGACCAGCAGCACTTCTGGACATGCTTCTCCCACCAGATGCCCTGCTCAGAAAGCCAGGGAAATTGAACATCCAGCAAAAGGCCCCACCAGGACAGCGTGTTTGTGTGTATGTTTGTGCATGTGTTTTCCAGATCAACCCACTGAGATTTTGGCCTCCAGTGTGCATCGGGGAAGGGAGTGAAAAGCCCCAAGAACTGGGCAGATCTCCTGAAATACCTTGTCTGTGGGGAAGTGTGTATGAAGTTTTGTTTTGGTTTGGTTTTGTGGGTTTTCTCCTCCTCTGTCTCTGAATACCTCCAAAAGCCTGCCTAGAAACACTAAGACTGAGCTCTGCTTGCCCCTCCTGATGGTGAACAAGGCAGGCAGCAGATGAGCCACTTGAGCATCTTCAGACCCTGAGCCAGCACAGTGAGTTTGCCTGCCCGAGAACCTTAACCTAGGTGAGAGTATTTGAACTTGAATGTGTAGAACTGCACTAGGCACTGGCTGTGGACATCCCTGGAGTGCTGAAGCTGCTTGAGCTCTCAGCATGAGGTGACAGAAGGTGCTCTTCAGAAAGCCAAAGGTCTGAAGTGGCTCAGACTTTGTACGTGGACAGTGATGAAGGGGCATGTGCCCAAGGTTACTTAAAGGATGGACTTGTCATGAACAAAAACGTGTTGGAGAAGGTCCCATCCTCCCAGGAATGACAGCTGGAGAACTAGTAATTCAGTTGCCATTACCTCATCCTTTCCTGCAGGCTGTGCTCCCTTTGAAGGTCCTTCTTGCAGCTGCTGCTGCAGCAGCACCTGAGCTGATTCTCTGAGCAGAAACTTTCCTCAGGGTCATTCCCTGCTTTTGGGGAGAAAAAAAGGGCTTGGAGTCACTGGGAGGTGGGCAGGGGTGTATTTTCTTCCAGCACTTCTCTTCTTCCTCCCTTGGTGGGAGAGGGAAGAAAGCTACTGCTGTAGTAGCTCACATGGTTGGCAGAACTGAACAAAAAGCTGGCTCAAGTCCTGCTCTTAAGTTTCACAAACATATTGGTTTAACTGGATTTTTAGTGTGCTTTCTCCCTCCCTCCCTTCGGTATTGAACAGTGGGGAATGGGTGTTAGTCTTTGCTGTTACTTTGATTCTCTCCCCCTACCCATGAGTTTGAAGTATTATGTAAAGTAACATGGGACCAGCTGCCACCACCTGACAAAAGGTGTGTGTGGAGGGGGCTGGTTTTAGTCTGTGTAGTGGTGTGTTAGAAACACTGGGGACTCCCTTTGCTGTGAGTCAGTGGAGGAGCCTCTATAAACTGGGTCCAGTGGATTCAGGATTGTTAATAGGATTTGCCCTTTCTTTCCCCCTCCCAGGCTGGTTTGTGAGGGGACACCTGAAGGGGAGAGTCCTGGGTGATGTGTGGGTGGGGTTTATGAACTGTGATTTGCACAGCTCCATGTTCTAACTAAATTAAAAAGCAGTAAATGTATGCTATGAAAACCAAGATTCTGTCGTCTCTGTTACATAAAGCAGGAAGCTGTAACTTTCCAAGGTTTCTATTGTTGTCACAGAATGGCAACATCAAAATGGCACCTGCGCTATCATCTGGAACTCCCTTTCTTGAGCCAAAGAGCTCTGCCACATCTGCAGAACTACAGCAAGGCTGTGCAAGTGCTCCATCGTACTATTTACCTGGAAAATGTGATGGAAATGGAAGTAGTTGTCAAGTTTTGGTGGGGTTTTTCTAAAGGTGAACAGGCACCAGCAGAACATGGAACCTCTCTCCATTTTCCTTTTCTGATCCAGGGATAAAAATACAGCTTGTGCTTGGAAACCTCTTTCTGAAATATGTAGTTCAAGGGGGATTTGTCAAGGCAACAACTTAATGAAAACAGGAGCTTTGTCAGTGCCTCCTGTAACCTGCTGTGCTCTGTCTCCATCATGCTCTCCAGGGCAGGGCCCCGAGGGACGGAGCCGCTGCTGAGCGGCACCAAAGCAGAACTGGCCCGGGCCAGTGGGGTACGGGGCTGTAACCCTGAGCGAGCGTCCTCCCAGGGCCAGCCCGCTCACACCCCCACAGCTGCTCTCGGGAACAGCCTCCAGCTCCAGCCTAGGTGCGGCAGCAAGGAGACAAGCTCCGTGGCCCTTGTCAGGGCTGGTGAGTGGAGGCGCTGCTTGCAGGGATTTACCTCTGGGCCTGGCGAACTGAAGTGGCATCTTCCCTTCTCAGTCTGAAGTCTGCAACAAGCAGGATGCTGCTCTGGCAGGAGGATTGTACAGATGGGCCACAGTCCACACAGGTCTACAGAGCATTTTTCAGAGCTTTAATACAAGGTAGCACAATCTGCACCTTCTCATTATGAGGTATTTAAAACATTTTACAAAGAAATGGTATTCAAAGGCATTTAAAAATAAAACATTTCCCTTTTCTGAATCGAACATTAACACTAAAACCCCTGCTGCCAAGTGCTGCTCCCTGTTAGGCCCACAGCTATAAATCAGATGGCTAGAAAACTTACTTGAATGGCTTGAATCCCCAAGTTGGGGATGGATGTTTCCCTGAACTGGCCTTGTCTTGGTGCCATTTGGGAGACACTGCAGCAACCATCCCTTCCAAACCCCCTGAAATGCTAATAAAAGTTGTTAGAAAACCTCTCTATTAGGGCTGGGCTCTGTAAGCAAGAGTCGCTGCACAAGCTGAGTGTGTGTGAAGGGGGCTGGGCCAGGAACTGTACCATAACTTGGGGATATTGAAAGAGCAGCTGCCCTGTCCTGCCCTTAGAGTGAGAGCTGCTGCACTGTGGTCAGGGTGACCTCTGCAGCTGGCTTGGCCACGCTGCCCACAGCTGGCTCTGTAGAAAGCCAAGGGAATTCAGAAGAGGATGTTATATATCCTCAGTGCTCAACCTGCTGTAGGTAATGGAAGGGCAGTTTTTCTTCACAACTATCTACCGCTGGCCTTTGGTCTCCTGATCTGTGTAAGTGAGCAGGAGGCACAGACCACCTGGACACCTAAACTGTGGCTGTGCATGTAGCACCACAGGGGAATGGAGATGTGGCCTCAGCCCTGGAAGACCTGGATTTGTTAAGGAGCTTGAGAAGAGCTTTTCCAAATTGACACTGGGGCTAAACATACTGTCCTTGGCCAAAGCCATCCTCAAATAAAGTCTTCCTTGGGAAAAAACCTGATCCAGTAGCAGGATTCTGGACAGTCTCTCCAGCTCTCAGCCACTAAAGCAAAAAGGCAGGAACTATAATCAGAGTATAATTACCTAGCTAAGTCTGACATGAAGCTCCCCTCAGTCCCTGCAGTACTGCTCCCTCCTGGGGTTCCAGGCTGAAACTTAAGTAACAGTGCACACCGTTAAATAGGAAAGGAATGGAAAAAGAGGAAGCCGAGACCACGCTCCAGGCTATGGGATCTGTGGCCAGTTGTGAGCCTGGCCCATCTTCCCCCCCAGCTCCTTGGCACACCATGGAGATAGGTGGGAGGAAGCAGCAGGGTCCACCACACCAGTCCCCAGCTGGTCATGTGCTGAATGGTGCCCCTCGAACAGACCGTGATGAATAGCCCATTGTTCTGTCCCTCTGCATCACCTTCATCTGGCTTTCATCAAAAATAAAACAAATTAGAAATGAACACACGCAACCCCTGCACTCACAGTGGGAAGCTGGAGGCTTTGCTCATCCTGAGCTGCTCCTGCCCGAGCTGCTCAGGCACCAGGAGTACCCGCCTGCCCCATGAGCGGGCCGCCGCCGTCGTGCGTCTCCTCCACAGGCGTCTGGTTAGTGTGCACCACTATTGTGTTCTCGTCCACAAGCTCACAGGCAGGATTGGTGAACGCTGAGAGTGGGAGTGTGATGCGCTGCATTTCACGCTCATAAACTTTCTGTTCATGCTTTTCCTTTAGGTCTTTCCCCCTAGATTAAGAAAAACCAAAACATATACATGATGTGCATGGGGTGAGTGCCACTGCTTGGAGTTAGTCTCAATAAAGGTGATACAGTAGAAAAGAAGGGACCTTGCTCTTAACAAACAGATGTTTCAGCTACATACAACGGGCCAGAAACATTCCCTACTGTAAGCAGAGGACCCCAACTGACCATCTTTAAAAAGAAGCAGCCAATTGAAGCCTGTCCCTCCCTCATAAACTGTCTTATTCACTGGCATTGCTACTGCTAAGTGATGCCTGTAGAGCCAGGCTTCTCCTGCAAACCATGGAGCTGACAAAGGTTTCCTTATACCTTATAGTCCCACAGCACTGCCTGGGGCAGGCCCAGAGGAGCAGTGAGACAGCACAGAGCCCACTGCTGTGGGGAAGAGCTTCTGTAACCCGCTTCATCTGACAGGAACAAATACCAGAGGTGGATTCTGCCTTTTGTTGCAGCAAACCAACCTCTGTAGCAAATCAAGCCGTTCCTGAAAGTATTAGAGCTTATTTCAGAGCTGGCCCTGCCTTCTGCTGCTGCAGCTAACAACTTAATACCACAACCGGCTCCCCAAACCTACCTCAGTCTTCAGCCTGTTGCTATGGGAGGCGACACCTCTGTAATTTGTACTGAGGAAGAACTGCCTTGCTTTAAAAATGGATGACATTAATAGCATGTTGTCTCCAGAAAAGCTATGTATACCAAAAGCTACTAAACCCATTAAAGGTTTCTCACCACACCTACCCAAACCTGCCAGCTTGCACGTGCAATTTTGAGAGCAAGGCGAGAGAGAGGGCGACAGTAAACCTGCGCTGCAGCCCTGCTGGGAGCTCTCTGGGACTGCAGAAGCAAAGCTGCATTTGCACAAACTGCAACATTGGTCTGTTGCTTCCTCCTGCTGAAGACAGGAACGAGGTGGGACTGGCACCACTCACTCCTCCTGGGGCTCGTGATCCCGACCAGGCAGAGCTGCTGGGGTTTCCTGTCAGCACAGAAGCATTTTGGCTGCTTTTCAAACCTGCCTACAAGCGTGCAGCAGTGGCTGTCGTTCCTGGCAGCACACGAGACAGCATTCTCTGAAGTGACACCTCAAATCAGATTCCTCGACAAGCAGTGCTCTGTGTTTTGCCCCTTATGTAACACTCCTCCCTCTGTTTTTTTTCTGTCGGCATTTATTATAAACACTTACATAAGGACATGTCCCAGCTTGGGAAAGGGCTCCTTCTGCTTGCTTGTGTCAGACTGCTGTCAAACAGCCAAAATACAGAACAAACCCTCCCAGAGGAGGGAGCTTGGGCCTTCATTTGCTGCAGCGACATTCACTGCTGTTTGTTCATCCTGCCCTGTCTCTTACAACTAAGCTGCTTGCTATTACCACTAACCTCAAACACTGCTGAGCTGCAGAAACGTTTCTGTCCAACACCATGAAATGGCTGAACAAATCATGACTTAAGGGTGAATCAAAACAGACCTTAAGAGAATACAGGAGCTTTGGTAAAATTAGCTTTGTCTGATAAAAGTCCTACTCGATATTCAGTTTCATAGGATATAATGCGAGTGGCAGAGAATTTACCAATTGTTTTTCTTCTAAAGCTACGGGAACAGGTAGCCTGCTGGAAGGATTGTTCTTTTTCTGATCACAAAAGAAACTTCCTGTGAAGACACCTAGGATTTCCTCTCTCCAGCTCTTACTTAAAATTCAGCTCCCCTGGATGCATCTGAGAAAGCCACAGCAAAGTGCATGTGCACATACAAAACCAAAAAATACAGAAGGTCATTTGAAACTTTAAATGGGACAGAACACCACACTGATGGGTGAAATGGAGAAGCATAGGATTAACTCTTACACAATTCTCTCCTCAGTGCAACAAGCAAAACTCTTGCACAATGTGCTGTATCAAAACACAGGCTTCTATCTGCCTTTTCACTGGGATCTGGTTGGGGCTGCAGGTGCTCAGACATTCCTGCTCTATTTACATTGTTTCATGCCTACACCAGCTTTTAGACAAAGGGGAACAGCCACTGACCTCTTATAGATGTATCCCAGGACAATGCCAGCTCCGATGGTGATGATTATCACCATCATGATCAGTCCCAGCACGTACCCTGTGAAGAGAGAAAGGAAAGGGGATAAAACCAAGAGGCAGTAGATCCAGCTATAGCATTGCTTTCAGAGCCTCAAAACAAATCAGTCCTGCCAGAATTACAGGAATGGATCCCCCACATGACCCTGGGTTTGTACCTAGGGTCCCTAAGTCCTTCTTGTCTTTGGAGTTCATCTGCACCCTCTGACTGATCCCAATGACGGGCTGCACAGCGGCTGCCTCGCTCCGGGAGGGCAGGGTATCAGCTGGTTCAAACACCTGGTCGAACGCCTGAGAAGTACCAACTTCTGCTGTAGGGACTGGGGCTGTGGCAGCTGTAGCATCTGTTGAGAGGAGAAAAGAGACATTATAAATACCGATTCAAACCAGCACGAGCCTTGTGAGTGGGACAGATCTAGACTGGTCTCACTGAACCGCCTTTGAAGTACACTGGCACACACTCGTCCCCTCTTAAGTTGCTGCCAGAAATCCTACCAAGGCAGACAAGCAGCATACTCTCCCCACTTTC